ACAATCTCACATTTCCTGTGTACTTGCCCAGAACAGTTGTTAATTCTACAAAATCTAGCTTACAACAGAGAACAAAAGAACTTACAAATATAATTGATCCCGGAGACTTCTTCATATATAGTTCACATAATGGGTCATAGAATTCTAGCAGGAGCCACAACTTACGGGCCCACTGTGCCTTTCTGTATCATGTTTTCCTAAGACAAATTAGAAAGCTGGGTCACTAGGACCAATGCAAGTTTTTGTACCCCCTGATTATGCTTCTACAACCAATCAATTCTCAAGAATCTAGTAGTTGTGCCCCGTTGGCTTAGAGATGTGGATGCCAAACCCTGGCCTCTCAGCCTTACCGCGGAGGAAGAAGGTGAAACACGCTTGTGGTGATGGTGCGTCTGAAAACTTAGAAATATTTAACTGCCACCAATAACAAATTGACCTGGAACATATCCTCATTCAATAAAAAAAGTACTGGGTTCTAATGAAAAAGAATGAAGTCATTTACTAAAATGTTAATCCACATAAAGCACTTGACAGAGCCTGGCCGTCCTAAGTGCCTGTGCTTAGTATTCTCCATTTGACCCCTCAGCAACCCTCCCTCCAGCCCCCCACTGTTCATTCTCCCACCTTCTCTGGCTGGCTTTTGTCCTAGGAGAGGAGACCTCTATGCAGGACTACATCACCCAGGTTCCCTTGCCAGCCAGCTTCTGTTTGGAGCCAGCCAATGGGAGGAAGTGTCAGGTGACCAGAAGGTGGGCGGAGAGAGTGGAGAGAGAACTTCCTTCCTGTCCTCTCCTCCTCTGCTTCCTTCTCTGGCAGTATCCCAGCCCCTTCGCTGCTGCAGAGACACTCTCCTTCGTTTGTTCTTCCAGACCCAGGTAAGTTAATGCCTTTCCTCTGTAGCTGGTCCCTGAGTGCTTGCTTCACCTTGCCATTTTTTGTTTTCCAAATCTCTGTAGGTAATTCCTTCATTAAAATTAATTCACTTAAATCAGTGGTTCTCAACCCTTGCCACACGTTATCACCACCAAGGGAACTTTTGAAAACTACCAATGGCTGGGCTGGTGTCCCCAGGTTGGTGTGCCAGGCTGGGGTGGGGTGTGGGTACTGTCCAAGGCTCTGCAGGTAACGTAGCCATGGTTGAGAGGTTGAGAACTGCTTATTGAAACCATCTGAGTGAATTCTGATACGGTGCTCAGTGAATGTTACCTGTTGTTTTTCCCACCGCCACCTTCATTTCTGCCATGCTAATATTAATATTTCTCCCAGTGTGAAGACTAGGAAACTTTTACATGGAGTTTAAGAATTTTTTTGAAAATCATGTGATTTCTAAGTTTACAGTTCAATATATTTGGTTCAAAAAGCTCATGTTCTTTGTGCTCTTTTTACTGTGATATACAGCCAAGATCAGGTCTTCTCAAACTCTAATGTTCATGTGAAACACTTGGGCCTGTGGTTTAAGTGCAGGTTTTGATTCGGTCATTGTGAGGCCCGGGATTCTTGCATTTCCAGCAGCCTCCCAGGTGATGCCGATGCTGCCGACCCAATGACTTCACTTTAAGTATCGGTGGTATAAACAACTATTGCCCCCCCTCTCTTTGTCACACCTTCAAATATGCGTCTCCTGTCTTCATCATTTTCACCTGATGACCTTGCTGCTTGGCTCACTGAAAAAAAGAGGAGGAGTCCACCGACTCTACTATCACGTGTACCCACTTACCTGCATCTGCACCCACACATTCTGCCCTCCCACCGGTAACCACAGATGGAGCGTTAGTGCTCACACTCAAACCATTCCACCCAGCGCACCAGGTCCCACCTGCTCTTGCTCTTGCTCATCCAAGGGCGTTTCTTCATGTGTACTCTTCTCTGTTCCACATCATTCCACACCCCGCACCCCACCATCCTGGATTGTTTCCATCAGCATCACATACAAACAACATTACTTTTTTAAATCTAAAAACCCCCCAAAACTTACTTTGATTCCATTCTCCCCACCAACTTCCACCCCAATGTTTGTACTTATTTGCAAAGAAATTGCTCAAATTTGCCATATTTTTTGTCTCCAACTATATTCTTACCATTCTTAGACCCACTTCCCCTTAATCAGCTCTCATTAAGGTCATTAATAAGATCCACGTTGCTAAATCTATTGGTCAGTTCCAGTCTCCACCTGCATTTTCATCAGCATTTGGTGTACGTATTAACTCCTTCTCCCTTCGTGTATTTCTTCACCTTGGTCTTTAGAATAGTACATTCTCTTGGTTTTTCCTCCATCTCACTAACAACTCCTCTTATCTCTGACCACTTTGATGTGCTCCAGGGCTCAATCTTTGGTTCTCTTCTCTATTTACATTTACTCTTTCGATTATGTCCTCCAGCAGCATGGCTTTAAATACCATGCACATGCCAAACTTATACCTCCAGTTCAGATCTTTTGCCTAAAAGCTGGGTTCATAAATCAAGCTGCCAGTGCAGCATCTTCACTGGGATACCTAATAGGCATTTCAAACATAACATGTTCAAAGCTGAGCTTCTGATATTCTTCCTTAATTTATTTCACCCATGGTTTTCTCCCTCTCTCTTGATGCACCTCCATCCTTCCAGTTGCTCAGGACAAAAATCTGGAAGTCATCCTTGATCTGCCTCTTTCTTGCATACGTCACATCCAAGCTAATATGCAATCCTATTGACTCTTCAAAATATATCCAGAATCCACACTTCTCAACATTTCTGCTACCGTCCTTTGCTTCTTGCTTGGATTTACTTAAGTAGCCTCTAAAACAACTCTTTGATTCTACACTTGCTACCCAGTATCCACAGTCTTTTTCAACAAAGCAGATGGGGTGATCCTATTAAAATCTAAGATCACATGGCTCCATGGCTTGGTGTCCTGTAAAAGACTGTTCATTTCATTCAGAGCACAAGCCGAAGTTCTTACAACCATCAAAAGGGTCTATGTAACCCAACTCCCTTCTTATCTTCCCCAACCTTACTACTTTTTATATCTTGCTACTTTCCTGAGCAATTATTTCTGTCTAGGTATATTGGCTTCCTTGTTGCTTGAACTTTCCTAGGTATGCTCTTGCCTTTGCACTCGCTTTCCCTTGTCCCTAGAATGTTCTCCCATGATTATCTATGTGGACGGCTGTTTCCCCTCCTTCCAGCCTTTGCTCACATGTCACCCTGTCAGTGAGTCCTATTCCGATCACCCTACTTAGAACTGGAATATTTCCCCACCTACTGCCTCTCTGTGGCTTCTCTGATTTCCATTATTCTGCTCAATTTTGGTGGTGTTTTTTGCTTTTGTTTTTTTGTTGGTTTGTTTTTTACAAGATACAATCTTCTCACTTATTATTCTTGATATTTATTGTCCAGAGTATAAGTTTTCAGGAGGGCAAGGATTATTGCTTTTTCTTTCCTAACTTTTTAATTACCTAAAATGTGTCTGGCACATAGTGATACTCAAAAAGTTCTGTTGAAAAAAAAATAAAGAACAATTTTTTTTTTATAATTTTAAGATGGCAGATAATAGAATAAACTTCTTATTCAAGAATCAAGGGTCTGAGTGTCCCAAGTATGGTAATGAGACTCAGACAAAACACACAAAAAATAAAGACAAAAGTCCCATTTCTTTCCAGACTTATTTGTTTATCTAGGCACAAAGAAATGACTTCTAGCCAGAAGCCACTCAGGAGTGGGATTCATTGATATGTGAGAAAGATCTTCCCTAAGCTGTGGCCTCATCTGATATCTCAAAGTGAATAGCTATTTCCTATTTTCTGTGCTCAACAGCATTGGCCAACGTTTCATAGTATTAAAAAAAAAAAACGTGGAATTTCGGCGATTGACAGAATGGATGGGGGAGTCGGGGGGCTGGGCTAATGTTCAGCATTTCACTGCACAGAGCCCTCAGGGTAATGTTCTCAAGAAGAATTAATAATTGGAGGCTGGCTAAATAGCTTTGTTCCCCTCAAATATGAACCTGGTAACTTTATCAAGGAAACAGATGTTTATTGCTTTCAGGCAGAAAATAATAAGTCAGGCAGGTTTACAAGCCCCCTTTCCATCTTGAAAGCATTTTTGTCAGCTTCTTCATCGTTGGAGAAAATTACCAAATCAAGCCTTGAAAAGTAGATGATTAGTGGGTGTCACACTTGGCATCTCATTTCTTCTTCCCAGATGGGGATACGGAGATGCTATTGACCTCCCACTTAGGGAAAAACACATTTTTGACAGCCGAGTTGTCTCAGGACTTTTTTTGGGGAGCATATAAACCATGTAATGTAGAAAATCAAAGGAACCTGGCATGAGGTGCTCGGGACAGCCTAGATCATGGTTTACAAACAATGATTCAATGGCTGTGATTTATTACAAGGGAAAGAAGAATCTCACGTCCTCCTCCCCAAAGTAATTTGGAACAGACTGAAAGGAATCATCTAGAAAACCTCTTCATCCTTTTAAATTATCTTTCAAGGACTGGTTTCTACATCTTTCAGGAAAATTCAGGGAAGAACAATGATGGTTATAATACAAGGTTATAGAGTCTCCAAAAGTTGAAATCCCAAGTTTAGAGAGCACTCAATGAAGTTCTTCAAACCCAGAGCATACCTGTGAATGTTCTTTGAAGCGTTTTAATAATGATTATAAAAAACACATGAAGTGACTGTGGAAAAAAGAGTCTTGCATGCCTTTTGAGGTGGAGAGGAGCCAGGACAAAAGGAACTGGAAGAATCTTTACCCACACTGGGGTGCATGTATCAGAAACAAGTGGAATGGGAATCCAAGCATTGCTTGCAGATAGAATCAGTATGTGTTTTACACACAGATGTTATAGTATTTTTCATATGGGTATACCACTATATAAGGTCTATGAGAATCTTCAAGCTAGTCTCAGGGTTGCTTGAGAGCCAGCTACTAATAGTGAAATATACCATCTGGACCCGCCAGCTGCACTTTGTCATCAGAGTGAGGAGACTCACTCAGGATTCCCTTTATGTGTTCTGTTTAATTTTTTTATTCCATATGTGTGGATCATACCTCCCTACAATATGGGTAACTGAAGACAGTGGGAAAGCGTGGGATTTGGAGATAGGCCACCAGAGTTTGGGTCCTGGCTTTGTGCTTCGTAGCGTAGGGGAGAAGAAATCTTACCCGTCTCTTGGTCTATGGCTGAGGCCCCTATAACAAAAGCTAGATTAGTAAGAGAAAAGCCTACAGGTTTTACATGATACTCTTTCATAAGGAAATGAAGACCTAAAGAAATGGGTGAACCTGTGTATTTTTATTCTAAGTTTGATGATGAAGGGGATAGTCT